TGGAGAAATCAGGTCCATGTTCAGTTATGTAATTTTTTTTGCTCTACAGTGATTAGGGATCCAGAATATCGCTAAGCTACTTTCTCTGTTACACTTGTCAGCATAAAAATAATGAAGAAAAAATAGAACCTGAGAAATCTGGAAAATGCCATCCTAAAGATATTACAGGCTGCACTGCCAAGCCCTATTTTCTCATTAGTATGGAAAAAAAAATGGAAGTTTCTTGAAAACAATGTGTTCAAGACCAAATCTTTCATTTCAGTATATACATCCCAAACCTTTTTCAAAACTCTTGAGTGACCAAATATATTGAGGGAGAGACTGTGTTCCTGCCACCCTGCCCAACACTGACTGCCTCCTGAAGGATGATGCTCTCTTCCAGCCTCATGAGCTGTTTTGTCTCTGCCCGATTGAGACAGCCTCAGTGAAAACCCTCAGGAGCCCCATCAGTTCTCACAAACCAGAAGGGCAATGTCTACAACAAGACATACAAAAAAAAGAACAAATACAAAATTCAGTGCTTTGTGATCCTGGATATTTTAAGAGCCTAGAAATTACAAAACTGATTTTCACCGTGCTTACCTTTAACTCACCTTAACCAATTACCCAGATCTTTAAAGGAAGGTTTTTTTAAAAAAAAAGACAAATTCTGAAATGAAGATATTATGTCACCCACTGTCCAAAACTCCTTTAATAATTAGTAGCCTAGTGTCTCATGTTTTATTATACAATTCCAAGTCACCAGAAATAACTTCTCAATCCAGCCAAGTCATGCAATGATGTACAGAAGTTGCTTTGAGGAGGAAGGGGCTAGAGGCTGAGGAGCCTCATAGACAGTTTTATGTGACATTAAATCTACAACAGTCTCAAAATCTAGGATAAAAACTACTCAAAATACCAACAGCTCTTAGCTTCAATGAATTTAAACATGCTCTTTTTTTTTAGCACAAGCTCACATGACTTGTTAAATAATTTACTCTATAAATTACTTATCCTGTCTTACTTATTAACAATTCTAGAGTGCTTTATATAACTGCATTAGAAATTTATTTTGTGGTTTTGAAATGTACGCAATACACAATCACCTCCCTTTTAATAAGCAAGAGCTTAAAAGTCACCTACTATTTTGTTGGCAAGCAGTTCTTCCTGAAAAACACCAATTAATTTCAAACCTCATCCACCTGAATAATCATAAATAAACATATTAATGACTTGATAGCAGAACTGTGAAACTAGGCCAGGAATATACTTGTACTGCAAGATGGCACTTTTAAATCAAAGTCTTTGAAGAGTCATGTACACTGAGATACAACAGCAATACATTTTCCTTAATGAGAAAATATTACAGTGGTCCTGAAAATATTACAGAAGTCCTGACCACTCTAAAAAATTCTCATTTACTATCCTATTAATATTTTTGCATGAGTGATCTCAACAAGGCCTGCTTATTTGCCATTGTGTCTACAATGAATGGATTTTACAAAACTGATAAAGCAATTTTGCTTTTGTCACTCTTGGTCCTTAGCTTTTAATGTATCAATAACTGATACCATTTATCCTAATGCAGGATCTCACTCTGGAGTTCAGTTTATCTCCAATAATACCAAAGTGACCAAACAATTATTACAAGTACAGTGTGTTATGATAAACACCAGTACTTGTTTTCCAGATAAAGACCAGCCCACACCATCATCTTAACCAACCAGGCAAATATAAAATCTGTCTCATTTACTGTAGTAGAACACTATGCAAAAACAGCCAGGAAGGGAAAGAGTGAGAGAGATGACTAAGAAAGCACCAGGCATAAATACTCTTATGCCCTCCCACACCAAGTTTCAGCAGCTGGCCTTCATAGGGCTGATGCAGAAGTACCCTCTACATAGCTTTGGATGCTGAATCTGAGCAGGAATCAAGAAATAGCCGGACTGGATGAGACTGCTTATAAACTCTAAAGCACAACCCACCTGTGGACCAAAACAGTGAAGCACCGGAGTCTTAAGTGGTGGAGGTTGCCAGATACATGGTACCTCATCTCTGTTATTCCTGCTGCACCATCCCATCTTTTTCCATCTCTTAAAGCCAAGTGGAAAACCCTGGCTTCCCACTCACATCCTGCCTGCTCAATGCCATGCACCTGGCCTATAGCCAATCCTCTGCACCACCATGGGTTTCACATACACACCCCAACCATGCAGTTAATCCAGCGCTCCCAGTATGTGTGGCAAAGAACTCAATCAGGACCCACGCCCCGGGTGCCTGTGGATGTTTTGCTTAGGACTGCAGGATGCACTCCTGTCAAGACCAGGACATAACTAACAAGTGAAGGATTGATTTCAATAGATACTCATAAAATACATGTGAATAAATTCTTCAAATTAACTGTCTTATACTTCTTACATGTTATTTATACCAAGAGTAATTCCACCAGAGACCAATGGAATGTATCTGCAGAGAACATAAAAGAAGAACCAGGCCTGAAGCTACACAAGTAAAATGTAACACTCCAGTCTCTTAAACCTGTTTCTTAGCTAGAATTAAGCAAGATCTGTGGTGTTATAAACACGTTGACAATCTGTACCAACTGTATTAGAACTGCTCCTGTGCTTTCACACAATGAAATAACATGACAGCTACTGCAGTTCAATCTTTAATTTGTCTATAAACTAATTAAGGGGTCCTTGTGTTTTATGTTAAAAGCACACAAGAAAATACCATCTTAAATATGTGCAACAGCATCTCCTGAGAAATCCATGACTCAAAATTATTTTTAGATCACCAAACAAAACAATGTGCAATGTCACAGAATGATACAGTAAAAACCAAAAAGCATTGTAAAGACAATGATGCTTAAAATAACCCAGAAAAATTAACACCAAAAGCATCAATGTAAAAAGACTAGACATATTTTAGTTCATCATGGAAAAAAACATATTTACAATATGTGTTTTCTGTTCTGGCCTTTCAAACCAGAGATTAAATTCAAGATGAGAATTGCTCTGTTACTTCTAAACAGAATGCACTGCATAAAAAGGCTACCACAGCCTATAAAAATAATCAGAGATGCATAGTTCAAGGTATTTTTTTTTTCTATTTAAGCAATCTGCAGAAACATCTGAATCAATAACAGTTATAACTCAGAAAGACCATTTCTGTATCACAGGTCCTAAAAAATTTCCCAAAGGTAGGCCATACATGAGCAGTAGAAATGAATGCCTCCAGCCTTCCCCCCAAGCAAATGCAGGGAAATGCAGCAAATTGACTTCAACGAACTGCAAAAATGTAGCCCAAAGGCTAGAATTTAATCTAAACTCCAACTGTATTTCAATAGTACTTTTCTATTTCTTCTAGAAGACACTGAAAAACAGAAGAAGGATGGAGAATATAAATTGTGAGAAATCTGTATAGATTGGAGAAAAATATGCTGGTATCTTTTACATTAAATGCTACAGAAAGCAATTGAAAAACAGGGGTAGGGAAACATAAACAAAAAAGCTTGAGAAGGTTTTTCCTGAGCACTATCATCTACACATCCAGTATCCAAAATTTTTTGCTCTGCAAAAGATTTTCTTAGGCAACGGACATGAATGCTTTGGTGCTCTGAACTGTGAAACCATGCCGGATTTAACACAAAAAGGTACAGAACTCCCTCATCAAATACTGTCTTCGAGGCCAACGTGGATGGAAGCACCACATGAGAATGAGAGGGAAAAAAACTTTTTTCCTCACGGTCAGTTAGGTTTCTCTAATTCCTTCCCAATTGCTAATAAGCAGCACTACGTTCATTCCTCTGCAGGTTTTGTGTTTTTTTCCTTCCAGCCACCTCCACTGAGAAGGTCAAAGCAGGTTCGCATTCCTATGGTTAGGGTACGAAAGCCAGTTTGCTGTCACTTTCTGCCGCATCTCTCTCTTCCTTTACTTTTTTCC